ATTGTGAGTGATAGTTCCCATTCGCTTTTTGCCCACCGTATACGATGTATGCTTCGTCTGTTTCGCTACTGCCACAACAAATCTATGCACAGTCTGTTTCACGTGTGTCGACTAGGTTGACATCCATCCGGAAGGCTCCTGAGACATCAGAGGAGAAGCGTCGTTCGGAGCTAGATGCAATTGTTACACATTAAGCTGGAATTGTCGGAACTTACAAATGAAATCGGCATTATTTTAGTTGACCCAATTATGAAAAAAACTAAATCAAGCAAATTTGCCAAAACCTCCTAAATAATTAAGTCAGTCTATTAGTCATTCTGGTGGATTTTAGATGATTGTTTAGGAAATCCTGCTTGGGCAGTCAGCTTTCTGTCCCGTATAGGTGGATTTCATACGTACAGTAGATTTGGACGGGTAAAATCGATCCCAGTGTGATTAACTTCGCGGAGCATGGCGTGGCGTCGTAGCTCAAATGGTAGATCGTTGGTTGCGTAAGGACCTTCCCTGCTATGCGAATTCGAATCCCGCCAACGCCGCGAGTTTTTTCACAATTGGGTCAATTAAATTAAGCAAATCTGACAAAACTCCCTGAATGAATAGAGAGGCGTTACGCAACGACGACAATTTTGACCAACTCTACTTCAAATTAGGCCGCGCCTGTACACTAGGCAGCGAGGGCGGGAATCATGAAAACAGTAGAGCATATTTTGTCGTACGGCAGGCTGACTAATCATCCCAGATGCAAGGTGGAGCAAGGTAGCATTGGCTTGATTTTGGTGAATCAGGCTCTCATTACGATACGACGATACTCTACAAGGACACCTTTCCGAATGAGAGAAACGGCCGCTGACCACCTGTAGCAAACGATAAGTACAGCTTCCTAGTGGCCATTTTCTCCCATTACTAATGGTGATCTTACATTTTTTGTGTTTCCATGATTGAATGAGATTAAAATGTTACCCAAAGGGCCATCTGCATTGGAAACACTCACTACTTTGGTAAATGCTTTTGAAAAAAATTCTCCATTATAAATTTTTCATGAACATGTGAAAAAGCACATTTCAGAATCGGTCAGTTGTTGTTCCTAGCATCCGACGAATGCGAAACGGAAAAGAGGGTGAGGTAGATCCCCTGGTATAGATAGATGTTCGGATATTATTTTGAACAGACGAAGAAACTTTAGGAAACAGGATAAATCAAGAGGAAGAACCTACGAATCACCGGTCGTGAAGGACAAAACGGGATTGATCGTTAGATCGCGCAAAATGGAGTACAAGAACACCCCCTCTCCCCAAAAAAAGTAGAAAGAGATTGCAATCGCAACTGCAATTTTCGTACCACAATGTGCACTACTAAATGGAGGTAAGCGGTTGCCATTAAAGCGCATATTACAGCGAGAATTCGTTTATTTCACTCGTATTGTTGAAGAAAATACACATATTTTCTACAAAGGCTCAAAATGTATTCAATGCGCACATCCCAGGAGACATGGGGCAAGATAGCACTAGGATATCCAGAGATAACAATTAATTTATGAAAAGTAAAAACTGTGCAACGGCATGGAAATGAAGCCGAAAAAGATCATCCATACTGTAAATGGTCTGGAAGATTATTCCCTAGAGAGGAAGGCTACAAGCTATCCTAACCAAGGTTGACCTCTCAGCAACAGTTTCTATAAAAAGTCTCTGAAAAGGCGTCAGCAAATGATCCCGGAGGGTCAGTAGCAGTCAGTATATATCGAGTAAATGACAGAAGCCCTTAAAAACGTCATTGAAACTGTACAGGAATGCATAAATTGTATTGAAATATGAAAAACATTGTTACAGGTCGCTTTTGTTATGCAAAAGTGCATAAAGATATTTAGAAAACATGAATGGTTGACGAGGTGAGGCGTTTGCGGGGTAACAGCGTACAAAACGTTCACTGTATATCCACTATGAAATATTCGTCTGGACCACCTTTAGTGTAAATAAAAGTTCTATTGAAATCAAGCTAGTAGCGGATTTGTAGTCATATCTGTTGGGCTAGTGATTGAAAGTTTGAATTGGTTATCCAGACGTCTCTTGAACCCGTTCACAGCGGGTGAACGCACAACAGGCCCTAGCAAGTAATTCCACTGTCGAATGACCCTTTGAGAGAAGAAGGATGAACGATGGTTTGTTCGGGTCAGTTCCTTCTTTAACTGGCAATCATGTCTTCTGAGGTTCCTACTTGGTGCCGTTTGAGACCATTGTAGGACAGACTTTTACGTAATTTGTGACTTGTCTCAAGCGTTATAAAATATCACCCTCTGAAATTATAGTCACAGTAACGGATGAGTTGGGAGAAGCGCTCAGCAGTTGTAGAACCTTATACTCCATCTAGAAGCCACGGGGGGAAACAACTATGCGAAGCACCCTAAACTAAGTGCTTGTTTTAGGCCGTACAGTCTTAATTTGAAATCTCACTTGTGCAGTTGCTGTGGAGATGAACGCAGAAATTAAAGTTCTGGACTCTAAGGCATTAGTAGACGAAGGACAAGCAGAAAACACGGCGAAGCTATCCCGACGAAAACTGAGGGGTGTAATAGGTCTCGGTTACCGATTTCTCTTCGATATGCTACTGTTAGAGCCTGCCCCCCCTCCCCAGCGCTGCCATTATCACTCATTCTGCCTTTTCTGTCAATGTGGCCAGTCAATTGATTTTTGCGTATCGCTGATTACTGGTTCACATTGGACTCGCCTCGCCGCTTGTGATGACTAATCTACTAAGCGTGAATTGGCAGTCAAATCAGTCAATCGATTTTTTGCGTACCGCTGATTACTGGTATGCGCCGGATTTGTAGTCAGCGCTGGCAGAAACACACTTTATCACTGAAGCCTGGTGAATGGACACAGCAAGCAACTGGCTCCCGATTCAGCTTGTACAAGTCCTTCTTGCTATAGTAAAGAAGTTGTCCCATCAACTTTGTCTTGTCTGCCTTGATTTGGGGAAACCTCCCGTGGTCGACGCAATAACTTGCGACACTACCACTTACGAGGCTTGTGCATCGAAGTTATAAGACCCAATGGCAGGTTCATATTGATTCGTGCTATCCATTAAGTTCCCCAATGGCCTAGCTTCAGAAACTCTATGTGATATATACCAATCCCATGAAAAAGTGCTGGACAAAAACGTAGAACTTCGTCAGGTCAGTCAGGTGATTATCACGAACATGACACCAAGTTAGCCCATTGATACAACGTACCTACCGTTAACTGGAGGAAAAAGACAGACAAAGGCGAACAGTTCAGAGAAAACTCACATATCATTGAAAGTGTCGAATGTACACTGCGGAGTGAAGACATCGACCAGGCAGATTATCTGTATCAAAAAAGCGAAGTAAACTCTCAGTTTAGGCAGCAAAACACACTGGCACAGAAAGAGAGACGCTTTTCTTCCGCAGATAGAGCGACTTATCGTTAAAAGGCAAAAGCGGACAGAACAGGCTAGACCGTCAGACAGACTGAGTGCTAGTCCGCACATGAAAGCGCAGTTATGCGATCAAAGATTTTGTGTCCCCAGATACAAACTGGGGTTGCGAGGCCAGGAGAGGCAGTCCATATTCCGAAACTAATAAAAGAGTGGCCGAGGGTGTGGAGGCTTCAATGTGGGTACCACACCTAAGGCATCTGAATTAACAGTATTACTATTAGAGTTCAAAGGTTCCCACACGCGAGGCCTTATGAGAGAAGTTGTAGGTGGTGGCTCGCAGAAAGCAGAGCGGAGTGGATGGAGTTCAGCGGGACAAGGCGTACAGTGAAATTGTTTGCTGACTAAACAATCTAAGAAACAGCGCGGGAGGTCGAATTTAATCGCGACCACGCTAACAGACAAAACAACGTAGGCTTATGCAAGCGATACAAGAGCTTCGGCGGACAACAGCTGCTAAGACAGAGGCAGCCAGCCTACTGTTCTGAAGGCTGATGTCACACCTCATCACACCCTCCAATTTGGAAGGCACGAAAGTGCGTATTGAAGCGAAACCGGACAAGAAGTAAATAAGGGGAGGGGAACGTTATATAACCAGTTTATTGGACACGTGAATCAGTCATGCCCATATGAACTTCTAGTAAATAACGGTCCTGCCAGGCCTCATTATCTCCATTATCTTTAGCACCAGCCTTTTTAGATTTAACATGACAGGACTAAAACCGCTGCATTCTTACATAGTCGGCTGGTCCAGCCGCCGAAAATTAAAACCCAATAAGTGTTATTTCCGGCTGAACAAGTTTGGAATTCTCCAAATCCCTTCTCCATTAAAAATCCCGTCCGACATACAAATGATTGCTTACCCCTTACGAAGGCTGTCCCCTTCTTACCTCGAATGCTGGCTGCCCTCCCGTGTTTACCTTTTTACTTGATTGCACATGACTGAATACTGCCCCCAGCTCCTTGGTTTGTTTTCGATGCTCTTATCAGTTGTCCGTTACCCCCCCCCC